CGAGCCATCCGAGCGAATCAAAGATGCGCGCGATAAACGAGAGTAATGAGCGTTTCGTGATTGCTACTGTCCGCGGAGGCGACGGCGCGGAGAACATAAAACTGTCATTCAGTAGATTCCATTGAATGCCGAGCGCGTAATGCGTAGCCGTATCGCCGATCGGTAGGATCGCGAATATTTCTTGATCGTGAACTGAGATATTTGCGAGCAGATCCGGAGAATTTGCAATTCACTTTTTTAAATTAAAGCCGCCCGTCGTGAGCGTGTCTTGAAGTTGCTGCATTTTTTCTTTTGTAGTAGCTACTGTATCTGTCCCTGACAGAATGTCGTCGACATATGTATGTGTCGCAACGAATGATTTCTGCAAAGGCGCGCGTAGTTTCGGATTTGAGAGCGAGTTGCTGTAAGCAACGAAGAGTGAGATATGGCGCGCACGCGAGACCGTATGTCACCGTACACAACAAATATTCGTGTGGATTTTCGGTGAGCGAGTTTCTTCAGAGAATTTTTTGCAACGGCCAATCATCTTGATCGCGAAACTTGACGATGCATTTTTTCAATATCGGCTGCGAACACGAAACGATGTCGACGCCAACGAATAATAATATCCGTAAGTTCCGTTTGGAGTTTCGGTCCGATATGAAGGCAATCATTTAACGAGATTCCAAGATTGGTTTTTTGTGATCCGTTGAACACGACGCGGAGTTTCGTCGTTGAGTTAGTATCTTTAACGACACCGTAATGCGGCAGAAAGAATTCGAGTCGCGAAGAGTCTAGAGAGCCTGAGAGGCGCATATGATCCAGCTCAATATACTCACGCAAGAATTCCGCGTATGCAGTTTTGAGGAATGCGTGCGTTTCGAAGCGTGTTTCCATGCGATGCAGCATCCTGGAAACTGAAGCACGAGAGTCACCGAAATCACACTTTTTCTGAACGGCAACAGAAATACGAACCGCCAGTGAGCGTCACGAGAGTGAATCGTTTTGAAGTGATGTTCACACTGAGCTTCTTTCGGTGTGCACGTAGCAGTAGGCGACGGCGCGATTTCTTCTTGATGCCAAAATCGTTGGAGTAGATCGAGGAGTTCACAATCGAGAGAACACTAAAATCCGTTGACTGCGTTTTGCGAAAGATGATCGTTATCATTGGAGAGTTGTCCGGATAATATCCACCCGAGAGCGGTCTTTTACGCGATCGGTGATTCGCCGTTTCCGCGGCGTATGCCATTTTCGAGAATTTGCGCGTAGACACTTGCACCGAGAACTATCAAATCAATTCTCCACTGAGAAATTTGGGCCCGCAAGGCGGAGTCCGTCGATGTGTGGCCAGTGAGTGGATGCAATCTTCGTGGGTGGCAAGTAAGCGATGAGTTTCGGCAGTACGAGAGCTTCCAGTTTGATAGAGAATGCCGAATTGATCCGCGAGATAATTTCGAGAGAGACCCGTCCGTTTGAAACATCGAAGCGTTGTGCGCCGATTCCGAGAATCGGGACGGACGCGGGTTTACGTGATAATTTGAGAAGCTGCGCGGCGGACTCGGAAATAAACGAAGCTTCAGATCCTTGATCGAGCAATGCCCGTAGTTGGAATCGTTCTCCAGCTCGAGAGATAGCCGTAACTAAAGCAGTAGCGAGGAGCACTGGAGTGCGTTTAATTATACGTGAATATGCAATATAACTGCACGGGTGAGAAGCGCCGATTTGTCCGTTGGTTTGAGATACTCCAGAGATGCCCGTGGTAGGGCCGGTAGCCAACGCGACGGAGACTGCCGTCGTAGTGGACGATGTCGAGGCGTCGGATTCTAAATGCAACGTTGAATGATGTTGCTTGCCACAGAACCGACAGTGTTTCGAAGTGCGACATGCCTTGAAATTTTTTTAATGAAAAAGATATATTTATTTAAACAAAACAATACAAAGTAAGTTCATTCAAAGTATGCTCCATCAGAAGTGACAACTTTCCCCCACCTTTCAGGTAATAAACAGATTCCTCGAAGGAAGAAATCTGGTTCTTTTGAAGCGATCCATTTATCAAGCCATTTTTTGATATCTTCATAAGAATTGAATCGCTCTCCAGAAAGGGCTGACAGCATGGACCGGAACAAATGGAAATCTGAAGGAGCAATGTCCGGTGAATACGGCGGGTGGGGCAGAATTTCCCACTTCACTCCTTCCAAGTATTTCTTGACCGGTTTTGCAACGTGTGACATAGCGTTGTCACGTAGCAGAATCAGCTTATCGTGCCTATTGTCCCATTCCTATTGTTTTTGTTTCAAAGCTTAGTTCAAACAAATCGCTTCGAACGAATATCAACTACTGGGCTCAAAAGCTTGAACACACACCTTTCAAATACATGTATTGCCGTTTTATCAAACACACAACCAGTGCTACTAACATCTCTCTAATGGACGGAAACTTATTCCCATACCTAATATAAACACATATAATTATATACGAAATATTTCCGTATGTTCTTTCTTTTGTAAAATTACTGTTCCATACAAGAGAACTAATAATAACAATAAGAAAATATAAACAGATAAAAGGACAATTTTCGCATTGTTTCTTTTACAAAAAGTCAAGTTTGAAAAAATGAGAAAGAATTACTCAGATATATAATTATATCTAAAACATTCTATAGTTATTATGAGCAATTTTTTCTCATTTCTTTAAACTAGACTTTTCATAAGAGAAACAATGCGAAAATTGTCCTTTTCATTATTTTTTGTTTTTTCATTATTACTATTTTTCTTGTATCAAACAGTAATATTACAAATGAAAGCAGAAGAACATACAGACATATTTCGTATATAATTATATATGTTTATATATATTTATATATGACGTTCTTATATGACAAATGTTTTATCGCATAATTTGTTAAAAAACTCAATTTTTCATCTTTAATTATCATTTTGCTCCTTTTATAATGACCATAACAATTACTATTCAAGTCCGTCATAATTGGAACGCTCCTGATATTGTTGGTATAAAGGCACTGTCATTACCTACGCCGCGCAGTCATTACCACTGAACAGCGCCATGCTCCTGCAAAATCTGCCATGCAATCCGTCATACTGCCTAGTATGTATCCGTAACACCCTGTACAAGAATGAACACGGCACACGAGTATAACAATCGCGTCGAATTATTCAACCGAAACACAAGGGGGCTGTGTAATACCCAGTGCGTACGCGGGCTCGTGGTCGGTTCTTATTATCTCAATTTCGACACTTTCGGTCGTATACGACAATCACATCGATTCGCGAAACTTATTTATTAATTACAATCGCGTACGGAAGTTCGAATATCCTTTGTCAAACACGGCTTGGCTTATACCGCCGCGTCGATGGCGTCGCTCGCTGATGCAACCGTGCAATCACGTTTTCGTAATTCTTTGTGAAACGCGATGGCTGATACGATTCTCGCACTAGCAACAATGCTCACGCACGTTCACGCCTCCATATAAATCGGTACGGGAATAATAAAGGCGTAATTATATTCTTAACGCATCGTTTAGGATTTTTTTTACTCTACCATCCTCTAAGACCGTCGGTTCCGAACTCTCTGTTCAATATGGCTGCGGCCTCTTCCTAGTCGGTCCCGGAATTCTTCCACGCCTTCTTCTCGTTTCCAATTGGTGCCTAGACTCACGTGGGTCGTCGTTGATGTGGATAGGATTATTCCTGTTGATGTCGTCTTCGTCGTGGTGATGTCATATATATGGCCAAGTCCAGATCTAATCTGGTAAGATCCAGATCCCTTTTCATTCTGGCTATCATCTGGTTAATGATGCAATTTGGCTGTCTCCAGATCCCATCTGGTATGATCCGGATGCCCTGTCATCTTATCTGGATGTATCCTTTGTAGGTATGAGTGATGTTCTCTCAATCCGGTATCGGTTGTCCTTAATGCTTATTTAACATGCTCGCTACATATTTTCGAACAAGTAAACTAAAGTCTAATTTCAATAAACCTTTCTTATTTCAATATTTACATTTTTAATCTCTAAACTTTATCAATTCCTTTATATAAGTTATTTATTTAATATTTATTTATCGTATATACATGTAAGGTAAGTATTTTATTTCAGGTATTCGTCTATTATTTACATTGGTAAGTATTCCCTTATTTATATAATCTTATTCATTAATTATGTCTGTATCAAACTTTATAATATTTACTAAAAGATAGCTTATCAACTAACTAGCAATTAATATAGTATTAAGTGTGAGTATTATCATTATTTATATATTTTTTTTATTACTTTTAATAATTACAATCACAATATTTGACTCTAAAGACTCGTAATATCTAATACTTTCTATAGCCTTACACTTATGGTAATTATAATTCTCTTCTTTTAATTACATATGTCATGTTTTTCCTATTTATTATTATTTACAGAGTCTAAATCTAAATCTTATTCCCCTTAAAGGTAAGTATACTCTACATATTTATTCTGTTTTAATTATTAATTGTCGGCTCGGTATATTCTATAGGTAAATATTTCAAAGTTATTGAATCGATATTAACTCTACATAATTGAGAACTGTCTTTTCTAATTAGGGATGGTTATTCGGATTATAGGCAGAAAAAGTAAGTATTAATTATATTATTTCCTTAATTATTAATTATTTTATTTATATTCTTATAAGTAATATTTAATCTTAATTAACGTAAAAGCTTTTCGCTATGGTTATAATACTGTATGTTTCGTATATAAAGACTTTTTAATAATGTATTGTTTAACTTTATACTTTTGCGCTTAAAATACTACATATATCCATGCATTACTTGTATAAGTATATATGTTTTAACATATTAAAAAAAAAATCTGCAGCCCTCTGTCTGCTTTCAGAAACAGTTTTATCATTTTTATCACGATTTTCATTCGTGTGTGGTCCGTTGCTTGTACTAGACGGATCTTGTGTTTGAGCATCCTGTAGCTCGTCAGTGAGGTTACATTCTTCGTGTTCCTGTCTATCATGGACGTCTTCCTACTCATCGAATATTGATAAGATGTCCTCAGCATCTCTATCTTGCTTGCTACTCTTATCTTCTGGCGTCTTGTTCATCTGCTGTTGTTTATCCTTTAAAACAGTATTCTTCAGCATCGCTTTTGCTTTAGCCTTTTGGTCGGCATTGTTTATCTGTAGAACAAAATCATTGTGTGAAAGCGAATACTTATTCGGTTTCAAGGTTAGGATTAGGTTAAGCCTCTAACCATTGCGTAGGAGGGGAAAATCTTCTCTCAGCCCAGACCGAGAAGACGCTCCTGCTCCCGCCACTTTAGGGACTTCCTACCCCGATTCCGCCATCTCGGCCAGGGAAGACACCCAGGGCCCGAGTACACCTGGGTGGGTTGGATTCGCATGCCTTATGATCCTACGAATGAGATCTCCAAGGAATGCGCCTACCAACTAAAAACCCCACCTTTAGTGCACCGACACTAAACTAGTGAGAGGGGCCCCGGATAGATTATTCATCACGCACAGGACCCCTCGCCCTCGAAGAGATATCTTCACTACCGTTACTCTCGGGACATCTTTATCTGTCGCATTCTTTATGAGCACTTCGCACTTTTTATTTAAATAATAGTACTTGTATACTTAGAGGTGACGGCGGGGACGAAAAATGCCCCTCCATCGCTCTCTCTCCCGCTCAGCATTTTCTTTTATCTTCATAACCTCCTCGCAGAATCTTTTAAACCCTTCCCACCTCATATTGGACCTAAGAGCCGCTCTAAGAATTGTCACAATTGACAAATCACTACCAACTATTGCTGTCAACACTGCCCTTTGTTCACCCCACGTGGGACAAGTTTCCAGAGTATGCCGTGCCGAGTCCGCCGCTCCCATGCAATGCATGCAAGCGGGGAACTCCGCCCGACGGATCTCGTATAAATAGTCCTGGAAACAGCCATGACCCGTAATGATTTGAGTCATGTGAAAGGTAAGGCCCCCCGTCCTACCCATCCAGGTTGGTAGCACCTCTATTAGGGCTGCCCGAACCCTATATCCCGGCGTCGAAGGCGAAAGAGTCAAGAGTTCTCCCCTCCATGTTTCTACTGTCCTCTTGCACTCGACCGCTTTTATCCTATCTCTTGTTCTAGGCAGTATAAACCCATTCCCTATTATTACTTCCTTTGTACGCGAATATACCGCACGGTATCTAAGCGCTAAGATTCTAAATGGAATTCTAGAAAGAATGGCCGAGGCCTCATACGACACCGTTCGGTATGCGCAGATAACTCTCAAGGCTACTCTTCTCCATACGCGGGCAACGTTGTCACATATTCTCCTGTTTTCCACCACATCTACCGCACAAATAGGTACACCATACATTGTTACGGACACTACCACCCCCGCGTATAAGCTTCGGCGCTTTTCCCCTGGTCCCCTCAAATTTGGCATTGGTCTGCTGAGGGCTCCTGTTATTCTTTCAGCTTTCGTTAATAATACACGAAAATGTTCCCTGAAAGTCTACTTTGTGTCGAGTGTGATACCTAAATATTTCATATATTTTTTAATCTCTATGTTACTATTCTCTATCCTGATGGATCTTATAGTAGTACTACCTCTCGCAAACACAATGGCCTCCGTTTTATTAGCCGATACTTTCAGGCCTTTACGCTTTATAACTCTTATGAGAGCTGTTACCGCTTATTAGCGGCAGTAACTGCCTCCCTATAGCTCGATCCCGACACTATTAGTAGCGTATCATCTACGTAACAAATACTGGTTCCCTCATATGGGAGCGGTTCTCTCAACATATCGTCATACCCTATATTCCATAGAGTGAGTCCCAAGACCGACCCATGTGGGACGCCCCAATCACTTTTCGCGAACACAGCTCCCCTTCCCTATTGACATATGCAAGGCGCCTATCGAATAGATAGCTATCTAATAAACCCTAACCCTAACCTAACCTAGGGTCCTATATTAACGTGCCCAAGTGATACGTGTCCAATATTAATGTGTCCAAATGATACGTGTCCAATATTAACGTGTCCAAGTGATACGTGTCCAATATTAACATGGCCAAGTAACGCGTGTCCAATATTAACATGTCCAATATAACATGTTCATTTGCAACGTGTCCAATTGCAACGTGTCCAATTGTAACGTGTCCAATTGTAACGTGTCCAAATGAAGGCCACTCCGTGTGTACAGTCGTGTCCACCATCGCCCTGCAATGCGCACGGACAGGTGAAGCCGATCGCCTGATCTCAAAAAAGTAGGCCCCAAAGCACTCATGACTCGTCAGCATCTGGGTCATGCTGTATGTGAGACCCTCATAAAACCGATTCACCCAGTCTCCCAGGCGTCTAGCGAGAGCGTCCCGGACAACAAATCTCGGTGCCTTGGGGGGGGACATCTCTCGCGCAAGCGCCCGATCCCCAGTCAGAACGACATCGCTCCGTCTCTACGCAGGGCCTCGTATCTCCGCAAATACGTATGCCTAACCTTATCGGCAATGAAGCGAAAAGGTACCTCCCTCGCAAGAATGCCGCCTCATGCGAGACGGTGCGATACGCCCTGATCGTCCTTAAAGAGAGCCGCCGCTAAAGTTGCTCCACCCTGCGATAAATATGTCGGTCATCCGCCACGGTCTATGCCCAAATCGGAGCGCCGTATAGGACGACCAACATAACCACAGACACAGTACACGCGGCGCTTATTCTCCCTCGGCCCGCCTATGTTGGCGGTTAGTCTGTTCAAGGCAGTCGTCATCCCCAGATCCTTGGGGAGAAGGAGGTGGAAATGGTCTCGAAAGGTCCAGGACAAGTCCTAGGTATTTTAGAGTGGACCCCACGCAAATCACCGCCCCCCTCCCACCCGAAGGAACGCCGTCGCTCATAAAAGCAACGGCCTTCGTCTTATCGAACGACACTCTCAATCTGAGAATCCCTATGGCCTCAATGAGCATTGCCGCGCCAAGCTCGGCACGCAGTAGGGCCTCATTAAAAGAGGAACCCCTTGCAACCAAGAGGGTGTCGTCAGTGTAACATAGGATGGAACAGCCCACTGGCAGCCCCAAATGCAGAACGGAGTCGTAGCCTATGTTCCATATGGTCGGCCTCAAAACTGAACTCTGTGGAACGCTGCACGTAACCGGAAATCTAACAAACGCGTCATTACGGCTAACATATACCAAGTACCTATCAGATAAATAATTCACGATGACTTGCCTGATATAGTCAGACACCCCTTTATCCGATAGAGCAGAGTAGATGTCCGGCCATAGAAGGGAGTTAAAGGCGTTGGCGATGTCTAAAGACACCGCCTCCACTACACCCCCATCCCGCACGCCGTCACCCACCCACTCCCTCAAACGCCAAACCACATCAATCGTTGGTACGGAACCAGAACTGGTTATCGGAAATACCTCCGACGTTATCCAGGCAAAGATGCAATCGCCCGCAAATTACCCTCTCAAACAATTTGCCCGACTCATTGAGTGGACAAATCGGTCGATAAGAGGTGGGTACCAGATCCGGCTTGTTAGGTTTCTTGAGGAGGACCAATCTTGCGACCTTCCAGTCAGAAGGGAAGCGGCTCTCCTCAAGAAGAACCGTAAAAGTGCGCGCCTAAAGGGCAGCAAGCATGTACAAAGTATCCCTGACCACTTTATCAGTGATCTGGTCCAATCCAGGTGCTCTTCCAGGCGTAATCCTGGAACATACCTCCACCACTTCAAACCCGATAACAGCCAACTCATCTCCCCACACGAAAGAGGTCGGCTGATAATCCCCAACCTGAAGACGCGGGAATAGGGCGCGAACAATGTCCGAGACCACTCCAGGTGGAAGGGTCTCATCCTATGAGGAGCCTGAGAAGAGATTATTTAAGACGACCCAGTAGGCATGCCCCATGGATCGATCTCCAGCGTCTCCTCCTAGGCTCCTTCAATAAAGTCCAGAGCTCGCGTTCTAGTTCCGGTCTTGCATATCTCCGGAGCGTAAGACGCTACGATACCGATTACAGACGGCGCACAGATCGGTGATCTCCTCATTCCACCAATACGCTGAGGATCTGCAAAAGGCAGATCTCCTCGGCATAGAGAGGTTAGAGATCTCCCTCAGCGTGCCGTCCACCAATCTGACATGCTCCTCGCCAGCAGCGTCTACCGGAGAAGGGGTCCATGACTTTAATAAGGTTCCGGCGTCGAGTAGATCCCCCTTGATCCTCTCAATGCACCATCTAGGAAAGACTTTCCTAGCGGTAACTCTGGTAAGAAGGCCGATGGAGAAAGTCCTTATTTACATAAGAATATACCTATGGTCAGACAGGGACTCCACCTGCGTCGCCACCTCCATTCTTTAACATACGTGGCAGCACTGGGGATGGCCCACGTGACATCCACACAGGACACACCTCCTCTACGCCAGGACGACGGGACAAAATCCATTTTGAGAAGGCTAAGCCCCACTCTGTACTCCCATTCCACCAAAATGTTCCTCCTGGGGTTCTCGTTTCCTCTACCCCATAAATGGGATCGCGCGTTAAAGTAGCCGAGCAGCAGAACCGATCTATCGACATACTTCGACAGACCGCCCTCCAGTTAGGACAACCAACTGCAGACCGTCTTGTTGAGTGAAAAGTAGCAGCCAAAGATTACCACTCTTCCCCACTCGATGGCCATATATCCATCGCTCCGCATCGTTGGGGAGCATGGCAGGTCACTTCATATAATGGCAGCGGTCGGGGGCGTTCGAAGACATCTGCCATCCGTCGGCACAGAATGGGGCTCAGTGACCACAACCAACCTTAAGCCCTCCTTCTCACAAACCTGCACAATCAAGCCTTGCGCAGATCTCGAGTGGTTGACATTAATCGATGCCAACTTGGCCATTGGAAGGATCAACCATACTCTCCTCAGTAGCATACGCTGCAGCCCCCCGATCGAACTACCACTGCTGTCTCCTTTACCCGTGTCTTCCGATCTTTCCCTTCAGGCCGCACGAGGCACACACTGGGCAGTATGGCCTCGCCCTACATAAAAAGGACCTACGTCCTTCCTTTCCGCAGTTAAAGCATAGAACCGATCTATCGACTGAGCCCATACAATTCACACGGGTATGTCCGACCGCAAGGCACCTGAATCATAGCAGGCGGCGTCTAACCATGGAAAAGACCCTGTTATTCGACCAGCCGAGCCTCAGGTGCCCATTATGGACCAGTTTCTCCGCCAGTTCTTTGGGGCACTGTGCCCAGACTGAGTTCAACCCACCCCATCCGGAACGCAGTGGTCCCACTCTAACGTCACCTCTTACAACACCAAAATAAGTTCCCGCTTTAACAAGTCTGTCAATCACTTCGTCGGTGGTGATAGAGTGCTCCACGTCCATAGGATTCGTAACTCCAACTTTCTAATGGGCCTCACAACCGAAACCCGGCCCTCATGTTCCTAGAAAACAAGTCTGAGCCTTTTTGATAGACCATCTGCTTTTAGTTTCGAGTTCTTCCCGTGAATTTTAACCAAGATACTACCTGTCTGTGCCTTCCTAATTTTGGTGTCTACAATGCCTAGTTCAGCTAGATCCACCTTGCTTCTTGCGAGACCAACCACCTTCGCATATGAGAGTCCTTCCTCGTTGCACCGAATGAAAACCGCTGAGGTTCTCGGTGCACGTACCGCGTGCGAGTGGCAGCAGGGTGAGCGTCAGCGCAAACCAGCGACTCTCCGGACGCCGGGGGGAGGGAGGGGCTGAAGGGCGGTTCCAACAACCCGCAGCACCACCAACACGTCCAACCCGTCCGACCCCCGCAACGTCCCCACCAACGCGATCAGACGTCCCAGCTTCAGTGCCAGCACTAGTCACTCCGGACACCGCAGGACGGCCAGATGGCACATTATCGCCAGTATGGAAAATCTTCTTTTTCTGCTTTCTTGTCCTTTTCCTTTTAGACCTGCTGGGCACCTCAATCCACGGCCCTCCTCCCGCATCCGAGCCGGAGGCCGTCAGCCACTCATCCACCGGGTCTCCCACCTGCGCGCCACTAGTGTCCTCCTCGGTAACGATTGACGCAACTATACGTCCACGCCTATCCACCCGATTGGGGACGGCGCATTCATCACTTAGGCGGTTTGACAAATCTTTCAGTGGCGGTCGATAAGCGGAAGGGATCTTCTCACGCCTGGCTTCTTTTCTTTAAGCATTGCGGCTGGAGACCTATTTTCTCGCCGCAAGCAACGCATGTGGCTCTCCGAGTCAGAGGGGAACGTATCCCTAACACGAATAATGGGATTGTCCCTCCTTCGACGGGAGGGAGCCCGTTGTTTCCTGTTCTCTCTGCGGAGGGACCTAATTTCCTCCAGCAAGGAGTCCCTATCTGTCCTT